AGATTTATGGTTCTTTGCTCATTGACAACGGCGAATATCGCAATCGATGGATATGAGAGTATACGTCGATATTGCCACAATTCAGCGAATAAAGAGACAACGGCTACGCTGACTAGGTCATGTGTCATCCGTCATCCGTTTGGTGATGAGAAGCAGGAAGAGAAAGACTTCCACTCCGTTGGGAAGATAAGATGGAGAATGAACTGGCTTCCCTTAGAATCTCCAAACAACGAAGTTTTAACCTATCTTATACTATTTCGACCGCTTCGACCGTTTCGACGTACATCTTATTGTGTAACACAGGGAAATCTCGATTCCTTTTACTTTTAAGTTAAAATATGCTTTTATTGTATATACACAAACAATATGATTAAGTAAATCAAAATAAAAACGTAAGAAAATATGGGTTAAGTATACAAATTTATAAATGCACATATGTACATGCATGCATTTTGGGACCAGACAACGAAATTTGGTTTTTTGATACAAACTTACAAAGAAAATAGCTTTTTTTTACGTGAAACTAAACTAAGGCATAAATAAATTTATAAATATTGAAATTCTTGCAGTGCCACATATGTAAATGGTGTGAGCCAAGTCACATACACATAGAACAGTGAATAATCATATTTCAAAAAAGCTTATACACCAAAGCGTACAATGAGTGTAGACACTTGTTAAGACATATGTACATATATACAAAACCAAAGTTATTTAGTTAAAAAACAGTAAATATACAGATATAAATAAATAATGCTGCGCTTAAACAACAAACTAACATATAATATAAATAAAACAGCTTTTTGCTGTTTAAAAATTTCACATTTTGAGTTTATGTGTCTTTTATAATTTATACATAATACAAACGTTAAGTAACACAGTTAGTGATAAATAGTTCAGTGTCAGAAAATGCAGTTTCGGTTAAGGTTAACGCGGAGTGCCGTAATGACACACAAAAAATGTCTTTTTATTAATAAAAATAATTATTAATAGCAAAGAATGCGTACAATATATTACTTGAAAGAATTTTCCCGCTACAAACATAATTATTGTGGTTCCATAGTTTTTGATTACACATTGACAAAGTTTCGAAAATATGTTTTTTGATTATTAAAATTCAACACTTATGTATAAGAATATCTCAAACAATAATTTACATTGCTAAAATTATTAGACTAAACACACGCTTGTTGATTGCAATGACGCATATGCCACTTGGGAGTTGTGGCGCTGAATGTTTCGCATTGTAAATTTGACACACTTAAAAAGACAACAACATCACTAAGAGCCGTTATAGATATATGTATGTATATAAGTATATAAAACTTCAAAATAGAGAGTTTAAAGTACAAAATATTCAACCTCTTCATAGCTATAAAATTGATTTGCTTAAAATATGACTCGTATTCGAGTTGCCCACGGGGCTAGTGTGAAGATTGCATTGCTTTTGCAGAGATTTTTTCTAATTACCATCCACCGAAATATTGTCCAGCCCGATAAGTACATCATCTGGTAAGGGTTCATTGTTGCTTGGCTGATTTGAGCACACGGCATCATTGCTTGCTGCATTACTCGCATTCGCTTTGACGTCATTGCTGTCATCGTCGGCCGCTGCACCGTCTGTGATTTTGCTATTAGCACGCAGTTCCTGCTCCTTTTCCTTTTCCAATTGCAAAAAGTTCGGGTCCTGTGACGGGCACTCCAAGTGCACGCAGTGAAAAATCTAAGAATTTAAGTTGACGTTTGAATAATATTTGCAAACAAACGAGTGTAAACAAACGTATGTAAAAAAACGAGTGTAAACAAACGAGTGTTTGTTTCAAATTCTTACCTCATTTGCGGTGTTGCGTGTGCCCACAATACGTATAAATACGATAGGACGCGGTGTGAATGAGAAATTTTGCCAGGAACGCACTTGTTCATTACGCTTATCGACGATCATGTGCCAATCTTTTTGATTCACTGAAGTTTCAATATAGAAACTATACGTGCGATCATCACAATCCCATAGCAAGAGGCGCATGGAGCCAATAATGTAAGGCTGTCCTGTGCATAGTAAATGTTAAATATACAACAAAGAAAAAAATTAGCATATGTAAAATATTCAGTAAAAAAGAAAAAATAATTTATATTTGCTGTAAGCTCTTACCTAATCTAACCACAATCTCGCCGCTGCCCAGCTGGTGGCATGTATAACCGGAATCCCAGTCGTAGTTCACATAATCACCATTCAGGAGCGCATTACGCGTACGACTCACACCATCCACCACAATAGCGCTCACATCGGTACGTGCAACGTTTGCAGTGGGCGCCACAATGCCGTTAATTACTTTTGGTAAGGACGCAGTATACATGGCTTCCAGGCCAACTACATGGAATACCTAGCATAATAAACATATTACTTAAGTCACGCAAAACATATACACTATTTTTAGTACGCACTTTATTGACGGTGTTGTGTGTGCCCACGAGTTTGATGTAGCGTACCGGTCGTGCGGAAAAATACAAAAATTGCCATGACCGACAATAATACTGTGAGTAATCTATGACACGATCCCAATTGGTAGAGTTTGCCGAAACTTCTATGTAATATGAATATGAGCGATTGTCACGATCCCAAAGCAGCAGCTTGATATGATTGATAATGCATATTGTGCCCAATTCAACAGTAATGCCACCTTCAATATTGTCACCAATGCAATGGCGTGTGTAACCCTTTTCCATATCATATGAAATGAAATCACCGTCCAACAATGCCGCACGGCATTCGCCAAGTATGGTTCGGGAGTGAAATTTTGCCGTTGCTACATTTTCTTCAGGCCACAGAGCGGCACGATATGGTAAATATTTTGAAGTTGTCTGCTCTTGTATAGCGTCTAATAATTTGTCGGCATCCAAAATGCCCGATGGACGCACGGTTTGCAACAAATCTTCAAGTTTCATTAGCGGCAAGCGTACGTAAGACACGACAGACTGTAAATTTAAAGTCATATATAAGTGTAGGGATGTATATAATTGATATTTTTCTCACATCAATATTGATATTTGTGTGGTTTTTACACCATTCCCAAACGGCCAAAAATATATCCACTTCAGGCGCAAAAAATGAGTCTCTGCGTAATACCTCCTTTAGCGATTCCTTGATAAGTTACCAACAAGTTTAGTTAAATTTAATTTAATTTATCTAATAATTAACCAACCATTGATAGCGCTTTGAAGGATTCATGTTTCAATAGAAGAGCGGCATTGCGATCCATGAATGTTAAACACACCTCAGTCAATTTATCTAAATTGTACAAACGCGCCGCATCCAAAATTGCACAAACATTATTAAGCGCCAAATATTGTCGCAGATATTGCGAAATGGCGTGCTCCAATTCGCTGAAACCATATTGATTAGCCAAACCTAATGTGTCCAGTATATTGTCTTCATCCATCTGTGCGAGTGGCATATGGCCAGAGTATATATATTTTAGCAAAGCCTTGAAGGCTTCAACGGGAATTTGCATTTCAATTTCGCTCTGTCTGGACTCACACAGTCCGCCAAATAATAACGCACGAAAATATTCACTACGTGCTGCCAAAATGACACGATGAGCTGGTAAACGTTGATTTTCCACTATAAAAGTAACATCCGAATAGTCGTCGTTCATACAAAGTTGCGCCATCTGCTCCGAGAAACGTTCTAGAATTACAAACGAAATATGCTTTAATTTTGTTCAAAAAAGGAATATTACGCTTAACAGTTAGGGGCATTGGGCATACCTGTTAATTTTACATCGTCGCTCCGTGTCTTTGTCAAAGATAGTAATTTATATTGACTCTGGCTGCTCATCTTATGAAATTTCGTTTAACAAATACAGCACTTAAAATAAATGTATTTAAATAAAATGCAAATGAGAACAGTGACAGTACAAATATGTAACGAATTGATACTAAGTAAACACAGAAAAACGTCTAGATATTTTCGCTCACAAAACGCACGATATGCTTTTCACATATTTTAAAATTGCGAACAATTGTTAGACAGTTATTATAATAAATATATACTTTGTCTGGAGCAAACACTTACGCCGTTGTTATCAAATATTTATAGAATTTCAAAATGTTTTCCGGCAGCGACGCAATTATTCGACTTTTTATTTTGTATATTTTCTTTTGTATCGCTTCTTCTAATATCGACAGCGTAGTGTTGCCAGACGGAGTTAGCGTGGTTTGTGCAAACATTAAACAAGACTGGTGGCATTACTAAATGAACGAAATTAATCAACTTATTACTTTAAAGTGAAATATAAAATATTCATGATCAGCTGTTAGGGCTTATATCAAATGTGTTAATTTATGCGTATATTTTAATAGTATTAAACTTTCCATTTAGATGAATGTCGCAAATTATTGTTATATATGGCATTTATTAATAATTCTGAAGTTCTTTTCACACAAGCCCCCAAACAGTTCACAACAGCTTCAATTAGTTATGTTAAAATAAGTTCAATATACTGATTTGGAACTATAAAAATTTCAATAAGGCAAAATCGTATTTAAACTTTTTTTTTAATATTATTTTAAAAAAATATTATATTATATAAAAACATATAATTTTCTTTCCAATTGTATCGATATTACAACATTACAACGTTGTAACTACATGTCATAAATAAACTACAAATGATTTCTTATATCTCAATTATTAATCAAACCTTTTTCTAATTTGATATATTGTCTAATATATGTATATATTTTTGTACATATTTTAATATTATCAATAATTATTCATATATGAAACAAATATTATAGATGACATAGTACTCAAATTAGTTTAATTTTAGCCATTACACGCTTTCTTTTTAGTATCTACAAAGAACATTACTAATTATATTTATTTGACCTATTTTGCAGGTATTGTTCCACTGTCATCGAAAAGAGAGTAATTTTGGAGAGTATGAATAACGCCGAGTATGGCAACATTAATAACTACAAGACAACCCTGTAAGCAGCTGTTCCATTTCTTATTTGTTTACTTTTGTATTTCAGCTCTTTCATTAAAGCCGTAAATTACAATATTCATAATAAATTATAATTTGAACGTATTTGCTTACTATAAAATGCGTAAGCGTGAGTTGCAAAGCATTCCTCTAAAGTTGGGCGAGTTAAAAGAGTATGATAATATACGAAATGAGCGCGCTGCTGCCAGGAGCCAGGTGCCGCACGATGACAGTCAAACTACTGAGCAGCCATCGCCGATTGCCAATGTCGGACCAAAAACTAAGAAGGAAATCCAATCTCGATTGAATGCTACTACTTAAAAACTTTGAAGGCAACAAATATAGATTTTACATTTTAGGGATTTAATTTTAAGTTGTATGAAAGATTGCAGTTTATAATATGTAAAGTTTCTTCAATGATATTGTGATAGAATTCTTAATATACATAGTTTCTGGTAATCTCTGACAAATGTAAAATTTATTTGTTTCTTCGAAGTGTTACTAATGAGTAATTTTATCTAATACTGTTGTTGTAGCGATAGAATTCCTTCGAGTTGATAGTACTTGGCCGGATTGAAGAACGGGTCCTTTTTTGCTTACGTAGACTCGACCGTCGTCGGAACGGTGTTAATGTCGTACTATGAGCCTTAAATAATTTGCAAATAAAGTTGAGAAGCAAGAAAAAATTACTTCGATTGCACAGAATCTCTGATACCCTTCCCAAATAAAAGGGGTTTCTTACCAGAACTTGATTTTCATCGTTCTGTTTGTTTGGCAGCTATACTATATATTTTATAGGGTTTCCGACGTTTCCTTCTGCGTCATGGCAAGCTTAATGTACACTATTCAGGGTATAAATATTAACGATTTATAGCATACAAAAAAATACCTAGCATCACATACACAAATATGCCTCTAAGCGATTAAGAGGTAAAGCAGCGGCAATGTCGACATGAAAACTCGATTTGTGGCAAGAAACCGTCGCGACATTTTCGTCTGCTCCTCACTTTATGAATTCTTTAAGGAGAAGCGTCTATAACCACAACATGCGCCTTTGCAAAACTCGCGCCAACTTAACTGTCAAATTAAATCAAAATATACGAAACAAGTACTTATGTATGTATATAAGTACATAGATATATCCGTTTCGTATAATCTGAGGAAAACACTTATATGAGAAAAGAGGTTGAATCACTCAATAGTATTGATGTGCCGTGATGGTTAAAGGGTGAGTTTGAGTACACACGCCTTAGTGCTCGCTCGAACGTTGTAACAATTGCTGACAGTTTCTTAATTGTTAAGAAACTAATGGAAATTGATTACCGGCGTTGCTTTTGAAGCCAATTGCCATCGGATTTGTCTAGTTTTATTGTCATTTGAGGGTAGGTTAAGGACAGAAATCAATATAAGTTTCTATTGATTGGCTAGAATGTTTATTAAAGAAATTTCTATTAATTTCATAAATGAAGTTTAATTCAATATTTTTGCTTTGAATCCAAATGTGCTGAAATCCTCAAATCTAATGAGTACAAAAGAGATCTCTTTATTCAAATCCATCTATTTTAAATATGTGACCTGGTCTACGGAAAGATGGCTTAGGTTTTTAGTTGATTCGGATGGAAGATGAGATGCTTTTTCATGTGATAGAATCCAAAAAGTCATAACTTGTTTGAAAGTTCCCTAAAAATGTAGAGAAAGAAGAGTAAAAATACGAAAAAATATAATTTTTCTGTAATGAACAAAATACATTGAATTATAAGCTATAAAGACATGATTATACACTAGAAAAACGTATTATGGGCCAAAAATAATAATGCTGAGTAGTTTATGTATTTTTCTTTGTTGTCGTTTTCCTTGAGATCTTTTTAAGTGTTGATCCTGAGGAAGATGGAAATGGTTCCTCGTCTGGTTTGAGAACATCTTCACTAGTTTTTGCCTTCCGTTTCTTCGATGGCAAATCTTTCGGCAATGGAGCCATAATATCTACTTTAGATATATCCGAAACTAAGCTGCGAAAATTGTGATAGATGTACCACTGACGTTCCAAAGATAAACCGGCTGGTTGATAATGAACTATAATAATATTCCGACCAAAAACAACACTTACTGGACGTCCTTGAAGCCTCTGGAAAGGAGAACAATTAATGAGATAACGAGAAACTGACGAAACGAGTTGTTTATTTTTAACAGCTGTTTCCCAGAAAACTAGTTTTCCCACGTTAGCTCCCTTTTCGTAGACCCGGTCACATATGTTATTCTATTTTAGTGGACATATTCATTAAGATCTGTCATATAATGACTTGTATACTTAAATACAAGGGTTAAAGTTAAGAGGACTGATTGAAAACTTTATATTAGTAATTTAGAGTCTAGAATTGACTTTTAATTATAATCCTTGGATTATAGCTTACAATATATCGATTGTATAAAGCAATCGCTCGGCCGGTCAAGATTATACCACCGAAATAGCAATCCTGGGATGATTTAAATCCTATTCAATTCCGATACCTTAGAGCCGGGTATCGAATTGACCCGAGTTTAAATCATCCTAGTACTACTTCTGTGGTATAACCTTGACTGGATGGGAAATTGTTTCCCTAATTATATGTTATCTGGGACTTAGCCTCAAACCGTTCCCACGACAGTCGGGTCTACGACGGTACGGCCAAGGACTGTCAGCTCGGCAGAATTCTGCCGCTACAACAACAACAACGGTAATTAGTAGGAGTTTTTGAAATGGTTGTTTTTGTTACACTTCTAAAAATCATTCCGAAAATAGTTTTAGTCAAACGCTGTAGAGATAACAGTTCTTGTTCTGATAAAGACCTATATGTTGTTGTTGTAACGGCAGAATTTTGCCGAGTTGACAGACCTTAGCCGGATAAAAGTCCGGGTCCGTTCCGGTTTCGTTGACCCGACTATCGTGGGATGGATAAAGACCTATATCGATAACGACGGCTGAATCGGATGACATGTGTTTTCCCAATTTTCTTGTACTTCACTCTGCAATCAACAGGCGCTTACAAGGTAATCGACTGATCGGTCATCAGTTACGTGCCCCCAATTTGGACGCCTGGATGCATCAGGACGTAGCTGAAGAAAATCCTGGCAAGTCAGATTTTCGCATTTCGAACCATCTCGGTTTGTCTCTTGATGTCCCCCGCCAAGCATCTCCATAGTGAAGCTCGCATGCTTCCAGCTTGAAGCGGAACCCCATCCGAGGAATATCAAAAGAGCATTACTCTCATACAGCGACGAACCTCAACTGCAACAACGCGTGTTGGACACCATTCATATCGGAGCTATTAAATCTTTCATGAACGTGCAGTTTACGGCGGCTTTGAAGACGAAACGCCATCTATCGCAGACTGTGAGGTCGAATTGAGTCGTTGAATCAGAGTGGTCGAAGCGGATCTATTTTTTTGACATAGAAAGTATATGTCCTGCGTACAAAGAGATCCCTCATATCACAAACTATCCCTTTGGATGCCACAATAAACTCACTGAACCCACTGATTAGTACCACTTCGTTGAAACAGTTATTCAATGTCAGGAGATTTTTACCGGCGTTTCACAGTTTTCAAAACATTCTCTCCTGTCTCAAATTGATAATATTAGCCTCTGCAAGCCGAAAACTTAAGCGAACTTATACTAGTTATTTCCCTAACTAGTCTAAACTCGTCCTCTATTGAATACAAGAGTTCCTTATTAGAATGGAAATTGTCTCCAAATAGGCAATGAATAGAAAAGACTTCGCTCGTCGCATGTGACAAAACCCCCGCCCCTGATTCATCTGCTTGGTCAATTTTATTGACAGCTCAATTAAATTTCGTTTTGACAGACTAAAGGCCAACTATCCATAATTTTCATCAGCGAAATCAGTGATTCCTCCAACACACACACACACACACACACATACAAACAAATGCTTTTGGAACATAAAGCGACTAATACTGAATTTCAGTGCTTCGTTGTTGCCGTCGAGCCATTGCAAGGAGTTGTGAGTGGGTGGTGAACGAGGCTGACGACGATAAAATAACAAGTTTTGAAAAGCCACAAATTGACAAGTGTAATCCATGGAATGTCGTCAACATTTTTGTGCGTACAAAAGGCAATTTTCACAAAATCCACTTCCAGGCGAGCAGTAGACAACGAGCCCAAGAAGTAGTAAGGAAAATTTAGCTACCAAGGCGCTTCAATTGCAGTACTATACTGCTGATGCTAAGGCTGAACGTGTGTACGTATGTGTGCGTGTGTGTGTGTGTGTGTGCTTGACAAGCGGTTTGCATGTGCTGCTGTCTGCCCAACCACCAAATCAGATAAAACGTCACTTTTGTGTGTTTAACAGAGCGTGTATACGCTCGTGGTTTCATGAGTACACAAGCTGACTGCTCGGACAGTTAAAAATACCGACAAGAGCTTGAATATGTATCCGCTTGACGTTTTCAAAATAAATATCAGTCCGATAAGTACTTACCCCGAAAACACAGTGACTCAGTTCGTTGCCTAATTCGACAAATTTATCCTTGGCGACGTCGGAGATCCACCCTTTCGACCGTTCCCACGACAGTCACGTCTACGTAACCGGAACGAACCCAGATTTTTATCCGGCCAAGGACTGTCAACTGTGCTGAATTTTGGCGCTACAACAACATCCCCTCTTTTGACTGTTTCTCTATCTCTGAAGTGTTACAATAGATCCGAGCTCTGTCGTCGGATATTACTTCGGGCTGCGTTTAAGCACCATTAAGTCCAAATATCATATACAACAATCGTGTCTATAGATTTCTCATGCTCAATACTCCAGGCAGCATATGACTGATTTGGGGTGTCTAATGTCTCAGCTACCTCGCTGAGCCTCAATTTTCGATCTGCTAATACTTCTTCTTTGCGGAGACACTACTTACTATAACCGCGTAAGTAGTCGCCGAGTTAGGCGCGCCAGTCGTTTCTTCTTTTTGGCAAAGGTGGCGCCAATTGGAGATTCCACGCAAAGTCAGGTTCTTCTGCGCCTGGTCACTCCAACGGAGTGGATGTCTTCCTCTTCTTCTACACCCCCGGCGGGTACTGCATCGAATACTCTCAGAGCTGGAGTGTTTTCATCCATACGGACGACATGACCTAGCCAGTGCAGTCTCTTAATTTGCAAAACTATGTCAATGTGGTCGTATAACTTGTACAGCACGATATTCGTCATTGCCAATCCGCAAAGGACTATCAACCTTTCTAACGAGAACTCGTTAAGTCGAATCCAGATATTGCCATCGTCTATGCCATCGCGCAGGACATGAATAATGAGTGACTTATAGAGCTTGGCCTTTGTTTGTCGAGAGAGGACTATACTAGAGCCGCGAATTTTGTCCCGTTATCCTAGTTGTATACATTTTCGGGGTCCCAATACTCCGTTTACCAAATATTTTACAGTATGTATGTATGTATGTCTTGCGACGGTGGAGCCATCTGTCGGCCGGCTTAAGTATTTATCGAACCGCCCTCGTAAATATGGTATATAGAGATGGTATACAATTTTTGTTGGTATGGAATTTCTATGCAGCGTCCGTGCGTGGATTAGGTCAATTGGAACTTTTACACAGTCGCAGAAGCCCATACATATATACCTGTATGTATGTATAGTTTGCCGTTAGTTGATATGAATTTTAACCGCCACATTTGATGCTCATTCATATTGATACTTCCTGCGTCTGCCTAACAAATAGAAAGAGTTGCACATTTAGCCACTCGAAGGTCACAGACACACACATACACTAGCACATGGATGTAATTACTTGATCAGCACCAAAAATTTCAATAGAGTTTCTAAGTACTCCGATGTGGCGTTGACCTGAGCAGTTCAGTTCACATTAAAGCCGCACTTGAAGCCACGTCTCCCTGGGGACATATTGGCAAGTTAAGTGTTTTATGAACTTACCGAATGGCTAGCGGTATGCGCTCCAACGTTCTGCGTGTTGCCAGCCAACAGCACTTTGACCAACTTGACTTGCGTAAGTGACTGGGTGCATGATTTTGTACGTTAGCGCCACCACTGAACTTCTTTCTCATCATTACTCAAATTTTCACCACCCCAGCTGCAGCGCCAACTAACCCTCACAAAGCTCTAGTTCACTGCTGACACTTACTCACTACAAACAATTTTTGGTTCGACCTCTACGTTGCTGCGCCCTCATTGGCATCCTTCCCCCATTATGTCTTCAAAGGCATACACAACCTCACTTATGTAGCATAGATTTGCCTTTTGCTGGTCATCGTCATATTGAACTATTTAAGCGTTTAATTTGATTTCGCTCAAGTGCGGTTTTTCCTGTTCACTTTCGACACTTTGTAACTACTTTAGCAGCAGCGCACTTTGCAACTTATCTACAATTTGTAGTCGTCAATTTCCCAGCGCGAAATTGTATGCTAAGAAGATGCTAGGGTTTGCATTAGGCTTCTCACCTAAATTACCCCAGTGGTTCGTCGAAAGAGGACTATACTAGTCCTTGCCTACTCAGTCCGAAGTAGCACCTGTTGGCAGGAGCTATTCTTTGTTGGATTTTGTGGCTAAAGTTGTTGTTGGTGTTAATGCTGGTTCCAAGATAGTCGAAATTATCTATGACTTCGAAGTTATGACTGTCAAAAGTGATGTGGGAGTAAAATCGCGAGTGTGACGACTGCTTATTTGATGACAGGAGATATTTCGTCTTGCTCTCGTCAGTTTACACAGCCGTATTAGTTTTGCCCTCTCATAGAGGTCGAACTATTTTGTACCCAATAAAAAAGCTGTACAATGATATTTAGACGTCTTGTTATCTTATGTTATGCTATGTTACTTTATGTTAAGAAATTAAGATTCAATGACTAAACTGGACCAGTACTCTTGTCTTCGAGAGGGAAAGTGATAAACAAAGTAAAACAAGTAGGGAGGAGCTAAGTTCGGGTATCACCGAACATTTTATACTCTCGATAAGTGATAATCGAGATTTCATTATCCGTCACTTTCATATTTTTTTATTATGCTGTAAAATTAGTTAGATTAGATCAATTTATGTACTTTGAGTATTGAATTGTACTTTAATTTATTTTAATTGTATTGAAAAGTTATAGTCCGATCATGACAATTTTTCCACAAATGATACCTCAGCTCAAATACCGCATTTGCGTAAAGTTTTATTCCGCTGTCATCATTGGTTCCTAATGTATTATATTGGAAGAAGGCGTGGTTGTGAACCGATTTCACTCATATTTCGTACATGTCATTACGGTGTTAAGATAATATATTCCGAATTTCATTGAAATCGGTCGAGTAGTTCCTGAGACATGGTTTTTGGTCCATAAGTGGGTGATGCCATGAAACATTTTCAATTTTTAAAAAAGCTTGGGTGCAGCTTCCTTCTGCCATTTCTCCCGCAAAATTTAGTGTTTTTTGTTTGTCGGTTAACGCACTTTTAGTGATTTTCAACATAACCTTTGTATGCGATGTGGGCGTGGTTATTATCCGATTTCTTCCATTTTTGAACTGTAAATGGAAATGCCTGAAGAAAATGGCTCTATAGAGCTTGGTTGACATAGCTATATTAGTTTCCGAGATATGTACAAAAAACCCCGCCATCTAGTCACGCCCATTTTTCCAAAAAGATTGCGTCCAAATATGGCCCCCCCTAATGCGATSCTTTGTGCCAAATTTCACTTTGATATCTTTATTTATTTCTTAGTTATGACACTTTATAGGTTTTCGGTTTTCGCCATTTTGTGGGCGTGACAGTGGGTCGATTTTGCCCATCTTCGAACTTAACCTTCTTATGGAGCCAAGAAATACGTGTACCAAGCTTCATCATGATATCTCAATTTTTAATCAAGTTACAGCTTGCACGGACGGACGGACAGACGGACGGACGGACAGGCAGACATCCGGTTTTCAACTCTACTCGTCACCCTGATCACTTCGGTATATATAACCCTATAGCTGACTCTTTTAGTTTTAGGACTTACAAACAACCGTTATGTGAACAAAACTATAATACAACAAAAATATAATAGCAACTTTGTTGCGAGAGTCAAAAACTACTTTCTTTTTATTAGTTGTGCATATTTAAAATTTATATAAGCCCATATCTCCATCCCTTATTGTAACCTCTGGAAATAAATACTTCTTTTGCTT